TTTAATATAAACTCTAATAAGTAATCTATCATTTGATAGCTAAATAAGTTATTTATTCCATAAAATAAAAATGCTATTAAATTTTAAAATCCTCCGAACTTATATGCAAAATGCTCTGTAGGCATACTTCAACCACTCGTAGTCCTTATATTCTATTATGATAGATCAGAAGTGTTCATGAGGGTAAGAATGGGTATTATTACAGTACTTGTAATCATTTTATTAAAAACTAAACACAAATACCATAACACATGTGTGAGTAGGGATTATTATAATTGTACAATAATATAACATTAATTAGGATTGACTCTAAAATTTTTAACTGTAAAAAACATTAATAAATAATGTCTGGCCACGTCTGTGATAGATAATTAATTAAATAAATGATATTAAACTTTTACTTTGACATTTCATATAAGGTTACTATAATTAGAAATTATTTTGTTAAATGTAATTTTATTTATAATAAATACTACAATTTGCGTCTATTATTGACGTTTGTGTTATTTATAGAAATGAAAATTAATTAAATTAAAGACATTCATCAAGGAATTAACTATCTTTACGCCATAGAATTTATTACTCCAAAACCGATGATCCAATCTTAATCCTCACAGATTTATATCCCCTACTTTGGCAAATGTGTTTATACTTTTTATTGGATAGAAATCTACCATGATAACTGTGCCATGTAAGTTTGTAACAAAGTTCTCCCATTGAATTACATTATATTTGGTCATGGAAAATGTATTGTACAAAACTGGTGTGCGTGAAATCCATTTATTCCTAAACTAACCATTATAAAATTAATCCATTTAAAGGGAATGTGTACAATTTTGTTTTATTTATTTTCTCGAAGACATTATGTCTCTACACTATGTTTAAGCGAATAAATAGTCAGTTTGTACAGCAAAAACTATAATATTTATAGATAAAACTAATCTGATAACTGAATTTGAAAGAAAATTCAAAATAAGCGAGTACCTATTTTAGGAATTTTTTCATTAACCTTAACATCCAAATTGTATAATAATAACCTTGTATAAAGCAACAATAAGATAATTTGTTATATTATTTAATAAATTTATAGAATTATTTATATTTGAAAAATACAAAAAAAAGAATATATAAATATAAACAATATAAGTTGTTAATAATTATTGTTATATTGAAATTGTTTGGTTTAAAATAATAAATACTGTATAACAATTATTTTGGGAAAATAAACTTAATATATGCCATAGAATTGTTAACAAAATAAAATAGTTTAAGTTACAAAATATTGTTTATTCTTATTTTATAATATATCATATTAATATTGTGTAAATACACTTACAAGTGATAAAAATGTTTTATTTAAAATACTTTAAATAATATTTATTGTGAATATAATTTTATCCGAAAATTATAAAATAATATTTAAATTTCTACAACCTGTTTTTAAATAAACTTTTTTCATTATTCATGATTTCATAAATAATTTCTATTAACAAAATAAATATTGATACAAAATTACCAACTAATAACACAATGATAATATTTCTAAATATATCATGTACAGTTAAATCATAAAATACATTATTTGTAATTTCTAAATTATTTAATATTTCATTACTGATAGTATAATTGGTGGTGTAAGCTAATATTGCTTCTAAGGTATTGTAATGATAATCCATTCCACCCTCAAACATATGTCTAAACCTTAAAAATATTATAATTAAAAATCAAATTTAATTTAAATTATAAGTAGTTTCAACATAAATAACAAGAGTCACAATCTATTGGACTAATCATAAATTGACCTAAAATGTGAATAAATCCTTATTTGTTATTTTTAAATACTGTAGCTTTGTTTCCTGGACATATAAATTACATAACATTTATGTACAGATATCTCTGCATACATATCATAATAAATGTTATTATTTTATCCTTAAGTGTATATATAATGTTATAATTTAATTTATTCATAAATATTGAAATTACACATGTAGTATTTAATGTAATAATTTAAGGGTCATTGATTGTTTAAAAAAGTTATAATTTTGATATTATATAAATTCGGAATTTAATGTTAGGTCAATTGATCATTAGCCCAATTAAGCATACTTACAACTTAATAAATATATTTGTAAATTTTTGTTTCTTTTTTACAAAATGAAAGTCATACTCCAAAAAATATTTATTTGTGCTCATTGAAAACAAATCTCTGAACATAATATTTTTCTTGTAAAATCTTTGTGTACTTGCCGTGTTATCAACTACTATTATCTTTCCGGTAATAACATCATTAAATAATCTTGGTCCAATCATATTATAACGCTCAAATGGTTTGATAGTATGGTTTGATGCAATAATATGTCTGACAAATTTACGATTCTGTTTAAGTATGTGCTTAAAAACTGTTGTATTTTTTATATCAGGGGGTAATCTCCAACTAGTAAACGAGTTAAAATACATAAATATATCCGGATAATCTAATAAATCAGTTAGTTTGTTGGCCATTGGCTCAGATTTTATATGAACATATGAATTAAGCAACACACAACCAAATGATAAATTTATTACTGTTGTTGATATTATCCAGGTACATACTATTATTAACAATGATATATTTGTTCTTATAATTGTTTGCCTAGTTAAACGCGATGCTTGGTTAATTAAATATTTAAGTGTGTTTACTAGTATTCCACTGAAACTCATATTTATCCTCGGTACTAATGTTAATTCAAACGAGATTAATATCCAAAATATTAAAATATTTAACCATATCTAAATTGAAACAGTAACATTTTTTAAATTTTAATTAATTATTTAGTTCAATATCATATATTAAATAAATACACAAACCGTATAATCAAATAGACTAATGAAACCAAACCAAGAGTTGTTTCTCACTACTTTTATACCACTTATAATTTGGATTAAAAAGTTGTCCAGGTAAGATATTCCTTCAAACATTTTAAATTTAAGTAGTGACTGAGAAAGTCGTGGATTAAATGAAATATCCAACTATAATTACAAAAGAATCATGGTTAACACACAATCACTTTAAATTCATTTTGAAACTCAAAATAAAGTCATGGTCACCATTTTTCATTTATTTAAAATTCAAACTACCTTGATACTGTATATGATTTTACAGGTGCTAAAACGATGTAAGTTTAAGTAAATTCAAACTGTGAGCACTACATAAATCATATAATTCAATGTATAATGAAAGGTAAAATGACTGCTTGAATTATTTTGTATTATAATATCAATTAAAATAATTATTAAATTTAAAATATAATTTTTAAATTATAATTAGATGTAGAATACGAATATTTATGTTTAAATAAATAATTGTAGATTTTTATACAAAAATACACATACATCGTTTTTGCACGCTGATGATCATATTACATTTTTTTTTAAAATAATGTAAACTTCAAAAAAATATTTAAAAATTAATAACACAAATAATAATCATTCAACATAAGAGTTTCAAAATGAATTTAAAAAGTGCGCAACGTCAAGCATTTAAACAATATACATCTTTAATGTTGACATATTTCGGGAAGATGATTTTGTAATTTAATTTACAAACTATATATTCCATCATGGATAAGTATTGTCCGTAATAGTGAGTCTTATAAAACAATAACTTATTTTTGTTAAAATTTAATAATTTATTTTTTAACTAAATACTCACCCAGCCCGTAGCATATATTGTATAATTATTTGTTTGATTAACTGAGCATGCATAAATAGTATTAAATTTTTGATGAAAAAGACGAACATATCTGTAATACACTATAACTGAATTTAATTGTAAACTTTTATTCATTTTGATTTGCTTTTGTAAATATATTGATATTATTATATATTGATTTGTTAAGGTATAAATTATTAAGATATTTGTAATATTATGTAGTTACTATAACAATATTTTCACTATTTATAAATTATTTATTTAATTAGCCTAATAGAAAAACCTAATAATAATGCATTTTGTAATTAATTAGTTAATTGCTAAAAATAACAATAAAAAGGAGGATGCATACCCCTTAACCAACATATTTGTCGTATAGACGGTTTTTTATTGTAACGGATATTATTAACAATTCTTATATAACTTTGGACGAGGAGTCTGAATATCTAATTTATATTGACCTGTGACCTCGGGTTCGGTTGCAGTGACCACTTATATCGGGACAATTTTCATAATGTGATATATCAATTCAATAGAGATTTTAACGGAGAATGCGATTGTATATGCAAAAACTTTATAAACCTGAGTAATGATGCAAATAATGTAGAATTTGTGAAAATCGGTTGAAATTTAATAAAATTAACATCGATTTCTACTTCTTTAAATCCCCCTAGCGGCTAAACTCTACGACGAAAGTTGCTAAATTTTACATATATTATATATTTTAATGTCCTCTACAAGATTAGCTAATAAAATTGACCGGGTGAGCTGGTTAATTATCCCATAGACACGCAGGCATCCTCCTTTATTTGAAACTAATTTACTTATTAAGTAAAATATACTTAATGAATCATTTATTTAATCTATCTAATAACTAAAAATATTAATGAATGTTGTAATTGATTCATTTAATTAATCTAATTGGTAGGCATAATATTAATAAATTGTATAACACTAACACTAATTTGAAATAATTTTCATCATTATTTTTATACTATAATTATTTGTACATTTTTATTGACGTTTCAGATAAAATTCATATTAGGATATCACAATATACCAACTCTTGCGTATATACTTTTTATTTTTAGTTTGCGATGTACATATTTAAGTACCGATATTTATATTAAATATTATAATAATATAAAAATATTTAGTATACTTAAGTGTATTTTAATTTTAATTAATATTTTGCTCTTATGTTCACTATATCTCTTAAAATAAAATATTGAATATTAAGAATCACTATAAATTAAACCGAGTTTTAGGCTATATTATAATTATATAATATTATGATGGTAATCAATTTTATATTTAACATATTTTTTATTAAGTTCTTAAAATAAAAATAATATTTATTATTTATTTTTGTTATAAATTTGCATTTTAAAAATAATATTGTATATTAAAAGAATTTAATGATAAGTAAGACACTGAGTGATAGCCAAACAGCCCAAATGGACAGGGTGATCATTGTGGGGGCGTTACTACACGTGATCTTGTGGTAGTGGTAAAGATCACAATAGTCTTCATTATATCTGTGAATATTGTTCCACACGTTCTCCTCGACCGCCCTTTTCTCTAATGATGTACACGTGTGCTATGTAAACATAAATGACATAAATGACACTGGTCAACTCTTTATAATAATAAATCTTTATAATTTAATATATTTATTACAATATTACTGAACTATTAGTTTAATTATAAAGTTATTATAATATTTAGTATTAAAATTATACATTTATATTATTATTGTTATTATTTAAATAAAACTGTAATTTTAGATTTAACGCAAAAATATAATTTTATAAATATCTATATTTATAATATGGTCCTAACCTAAGGCTATATTAGGTTTTATGTTAAAGGGCGTGGCTCAGTACTAAACTATAAAAATAAATATTATTAATTGTAAATCACCTTGGCCTCCTGTCGGGCACAGTCCTGTGCAATCCATAGGTAACAACAAGCCTGTTGTCTGTCCGTCTCATCAAATGTGAGCCCACTATCCCTAATACAGTTGACAACTTTGTGGCGCACTTTTTCCATGCAATCGTGAGCAAGGTGGTGCTTAAAATGGAGTGCATTACCCTGTTTAAATACGTGGTCATGATTATTAGCACGCACACTATACACTAAAACTAGTACAAATACAATTAACATTATATACAATTTAGGTAGCATTATAATTTAAAATTAAACAATGTTCAGTTTATAACTAGTTACAATTTTTATAATATTTTATTGTTTAGTTAATATTATTATTTTTTCTCAGAATATTATGTACAATAAATTACAATGGAGACAATTTCATTACAATAACCGTGGTAATTATCTATAGTAGAGTAACTTATAAACAAGGGGACAGGTATCATTTGATACCCCGATAAAAGGTTTTGTGATAAATCCCTGGCAATGAAATGTTTGTATTAATACGATAGCTTAGGTATCCATAACATTTATATTTCACCAATAGTTTGAAAGTTATTTTTGTTAAATTCAATTAAAACTAGTTATTATAAATTATAAACTATATTTAAAAATAATATTTCCAAAAATTAATATTTGCTATATATTATCTTTTATGAATAATTTATTAATATTAAAGTTTTATTTTAATAACAGAAAATGTAGTTTTAATACAATATTTTATTTTTGTTATTATAATATCTGTGTGTATTTTATGAAATGACAGTTAACTGATACTGTATCATTAACGTGTTTCATTGTCATTTGAAATATAAATTATATTTCCAGATAATATATATTAAAGTACTGTCTCCAAAAAAATCATTTTATGAAGTTTATAATAATAGTAAAAATCTAAATAATAATATTAATTTAAACAAGGTTTGCAAGCAATGCTATAGAAACCCGCATTTACATTTATGCAAATAGGGAATCAAGCTATCATATCTTCAAACATTTATTTGTGAAACACATCATAAAAATCCATAATTTCTAATCTAAATGTCTTTCTGAAAATCTCAAAAAGGTGTAGTTCCTCCTTAGATTTAAGGGGTAATTATATCACCAACAACATCTGCTAACACTTTAACTATCAAATTAGGATTAATTAATTTAATAATGAATTTTATTAGTTAATTGAATAAATTTGCAACCCTTATACCACAAGAGTTTCATAAGGGATGCTATCTATTACAATTGAACAAAATAAAACATTATCAAATTAGGATTAAGGCATTCGTACTTAAAATAGTAGTCGTAAGTTATAAAGGTATTTTCAAAATAAATTTATTTTATAACATATTAAATGAGGGTAAAGTAAAATCAATTTACGACCTGTAATAAATCAGGTATCATATATCTTACGATACTTAATTTGTTT